AATTGAAAGGGGTATATTTTCAAGGTATTATGAAATTACAGATTACTTTATGAAAACTCAGCAAGTATATGACTTGTTTTCATTTTCATAAAGTACTTGAAAAATGGATAGATACTCTCCCGTGCGCTAGATGGGTTGCGAAGTTCGTAGACTAACGCACAGATGGCGCTACTAGTATAAGATCCATATGATTTTTAGTTAATCCTAACCTTCAAAAGGCACGTGTACAAATTTCCCAGCTGACTGTTAGTTTGTGGGATAGAACATTTCGAGTGAAGCAACTTTTTTGAGTTTGAAGAAAATGGGTGGAAAGGAATTTTGTGTGTTGATAAAGCATTGCTTTTTGTCAAAAAATACTGTTGAAGACAAGGTTTGGCTTGATAAACATTATTAGGACTTTGCACCAGGAAAATCAACCATAGCCCTCGAATAATGAAATCAAATTTTGTCAAATGAAAAATCCTATGTTAGCCTACGAACTTTTCGGTCAAGCATATTAGGTTTCAAAAGTCTGAATTTGTTGACTATTGCAGGCACGACATGCTGCAACGAAAACCTCAAGAGCGCCAAAAGTCCATTTATAGCTCGTCCAACCACTTACTTTTCATCTGCGACAAATCTCCACAGATACAACTGCAAATAGTGCGTGTCCACTTGAATCTGCTGCAGCCCATATTTGCTGAACGTCTTCAGCCTGACGCACTCCATAAAAGTCTAAAATGATGTCAAGATAAATACATTTGATCATTTATACCGGGAAACTCGTCACCTTCAAACTAATTTTAATTATGCCAGTCAGTATGGAAACCTTACTGAAATCGACTGTTGAAAAAATTTCAATTCTTTCGCTGAATATCCGGTGCATATTGGAGACTAAAGTGGAATCCAGAGGATTCGGAGTATAGCTGGACCAGTTCGAACGATACAGGTGCCTTGAAACTGATAAACTGAACAGAAAAATCACAATTATAGAAAATATGACTACGAAATCTTTTATCAGCTTTCACATCTTCCCTTACCATATTTGGAACCGTGAAACGGGCGATTTAGGATGCAAACTCCTATAGAGATGCAACATTTTTCGGGACTTTACGTCGAGTTGATACAGCTCCTCCCGAGTCCACTTCACTACTCCAAACGAGTAGAGTAAGATTGGAACGGTAAGCATACTTGTTGCAGCAACTTTGTTCTTCCCCGACAGTTCCGATGACCAGATCCGTCGAAGTTTGTGCTGATACTTGCCGCGGAGAGAGTTCTTCACTGCTGTTACCTCTTGTGAGTGG